CGCCCGCGCCCTGCGGCCGCGCACCGCTGAGGTCCTGCTCCGCGTACTCCCCCTCGGTGGACTGCAGGCCCGTGAGCCCCGACACCGCCGTCATGCCGTCCTCGTCGACGCCCACGCCCACCATCTCCGCGGCAATACACAGTTTCAGGTACCCCGTGGTGGTGCTGCCCACCTGGCGCGCGTTGTTTAACAAGCGACCCCACACGTGCCGCCGCGCAGGTGAGCGCATGCTACCAGCGCCATCGCATGCGGGACGGGGATCGCCGCATGGGGCCGTGTGGGGAATCGCATGCGTGGCCGCTGCCGCCGTCATCGGCGTGGCTGAGTGCCGCCGTCTGCACCCCGTCCTCCCGCACCTTGAACACGATGGGGATCATTTTGGTGCTCGAGGACTTGTCCATCCCGGCGTACATGGCAAAGTCCAACTCGGACTTTCCCACCGTGAACATCTTGGCGGCGCCGTCCTTGCCTGGGACCTGGACCTTGAAGCTGTACTCCTGGGGTTGTGTTCAGTTGGGGTGGGGGGTCAGGGGGGTGGGGGCTGGGGGCTGGGGGTTGGAGGCGCCGAGGGGTGTGCGGTTTTGTGGTGCGGCGATCCACCGCTCGTGTCGGGGCGCCATGCAGAGGCGTGCTGCACGCATGGGGCGCTTTGATTGTGTCCACGCTGCAAAGGCTGCTGCTGCTGCTGCTGCTGCTGCTGCTGCTGCTGCTGCTGCTGCTGTTGCTGCTGCTGCTGCTGCTGTGAGTGCTTGCATGCAGCAGCAGGTACCGGTAAACCAGGCCCCACGACCCCCAAACCCCACCTTGGACTCGAAGCCGTTGACGGGGTCTTTGTACAGGGTCGCCACCATAGTCAGCGGCTGACCAAACTTGGCCACACCTGCGGCGCGGGTTCCGCGGGCCGCAGTGGCGGTGGACGAATGCCGGCAGCTGCGGCGCGCTGCGAACGCCAGCGTCGTGTGGCTCGGCACACGCACAGGTGTCTCTGCGCGCAGGGTGGACCTCGTTGCTCTTTTAGAAGCAGCGTGCAGCCCCAATAGCCGTATTCGGTCGAGCCTGCCGCTGCGCAATCGACGCACCTCCTCTGACGTCCTTCATTTCGGTCATCTGCAGCTTGGACCCCCTTGACCATACGACGCGACATTTCTTCACCGCTGACGGCAGGTTCTCGAGCTTCTCAATCTGCACATCAAACCTGAACTTCAGGGCGCTCTTGCCGCTGGCCTTGTGGCCGAAGCCCTTGGAAATGCGCGCGAGCATGCTGCCTCCAGATCGCGGGGCAAGCCCCGTCCAATCGCTGGTCTGTAATGAAGAGATGACTATATCATGGGTGATATGATAGGATTGGCCGGGCGTTTGAGTGTTTAATCTGCAAACCGCCACGCGTTTCTGCAGCGCTGCCTGCAGAGCGCGAACACAACAATCAAATCACAACGCTTTTACATCAGTCCGATTGGACCTGCTGCGCCGTTTGCTTGGAAGGCGCACGGTGGCGTCACGCTGGTGCTGTTGCGCTGGGAAGCAGTCGAGCAGCTGCAGCATGAGCTGGCAGTATGGCCTGCAGGGTGGCGTGCAGGGTGGCATGTGTGGCCGATGCTTTGTGCTGCCAGTCCGCATCCTTGAGACAGGGCATGCGGGGCCAAATGCAGGGTTCACGGACTGCTGCGGCGAGATGTGCGTGACGGCGGTGCTCCAGCTCACCCGCCCGCCGGTGTTGCAACGTGAGCATGTGCAGGATGAGTGCGTGATGCAATGTCGGGAGGACGAGGAGGCGACACGTGTTCATGTTCCTTTGAACGTTGTTGGCGGCTCTAGGTATAATGTGCCCGGCGTGCGGGTGGCATCAGGCAAGTGGTCAGCCGCAATTCATGTTGACCATGCAACGCGCGTTCGCCGGGAAACGATTTCACAATATGTACATACTATGAGGGCTCGAGAACCCTCGGGAACTATAGCCCCAGGTGTTCAGTCATGAGGTGGGGGCACATCGGCCTTTTGTCAGGAGCTGACAAATTGAGCTGCCCAGCTCCTTTTTTCACCGGGGTGGTGCTCGTACCATGAATCAGGATTAACGATTTCAAAATTCAAGTTGCATGACACACCATTACAAGCATGTTCAGCAGCTCTGCAGGCAGATATGTTTGAGCGCTGCCGTGCTGAGTAGCATGAGACAACAAGCGGGTGAGCAGTGACGCCGTCAAGCGTAGGTGCACATCTTTGCGCGTGTTGACCGCTGCCCTTGACGCTTTATATTGAGTGACGATGTACAAGTATTCCCGAATCAGCCCGTGACATCGACCAGATCTTGCACGCTTTCAAGGGCTCTTTCTGAGGCACACACATGTGCACTGCAATACGCATACATCATGGATATAGCGCCAAGTTTAGTGGCGCGACAGCAGGTTGAGCGGTGAAAGGAGAAGGGGTGCAGGCGACACGCTGCTCACGCGCATCGGCGGCATGTCGGGACCGCATGCACTGGTGTGCCTGTGGCCTCCAGTGCCTGTGGAGCACTCGCTCTGTGCACTGGCAGGCACGGACAGCAGCCACCACTTCACTGGCGCGGAGGACGGCAGTATAGCAAGGTGCCTTTGGTTTGTCGTGCTTGCTGTTTAGGGTTGACGCCCGCAACTGCGGCGGGGAGGGGGGGGGCTGACCGCGACTGCTGCTGCTGCTGCTGCTGCTGCTGCTGCTGCTGCTGCTGCTGCTGCTGCTGCTGCTGCACTCTTGACATAATCATAACTGCGGTCGCCTCACTGCAGATGGGAGCCCGTGCCAGATGGCGAGTGCGCAGACGCGCCACCCAGCCTGCAGCCGGTGTTGCTGATGCGCCGCCACCGCCAACCGGTCCGTGCGCTGCTTCCTGGCTTGAGAGGTGCGCCTGAATCAGCGCTTTGCCGCCGAGGTTTGTTTTGAGTGGCTTGCGGTCTGCTGCAGGTTGGAACCAACATTGATGAGTGCCTGTAGCTGAGCCGCCTGTGATTCGGCCGTTGCATCTGTCTGCAGGCCAGGGCGGCGGCTCCTTCCTCCTCTCGATCGACGCCGGCGGCCTCTGCTGCCTGTGGGATGAGGGCAGCGGCGCGTGCGAGGCGTGCGAGCAGATGGCCGCCTTCCCGCCAGACGCGCACCCATCTGTGCTGCTCATGGTGGGCTGCCCGCTCCCTGGGTCCTGGCGGTTTGTGGCGCAGCAGGGCCAGAATATTTAGCCCAAGGGGCCCGACAGTGGGCATGGGACTTCGACTGCTTGGAGTAACACACACAAATCGCAGCCGACACTTGAGTTACATGCAATCGATCGCATGCACCTCCCACCCAGCCCGGAGGCAACCACGTCTGCATAGTCATTCCAGCCAGCCCCGTGGCAAACGCCAGCGCGGACGGGGGTAGCGTTGCCGGGGGCGCTCAGCAGCAGCGCCAGGGGGCTGGCGGGGAGGCGCCGATGATGCTGGTCCTGGACTGGCGCTCGCTGCAGCTGGTGGCAGCGCCGCTGGTCAGCAGGGTGGGGCAGTGCTGCAGCACGGCAGGTGAGGAGGAGAGGGTGCAGACGCTAGCCGCCAGTGTTTCATTTGGCTTGATTTATCTGGATACAATGGCGGTGTCTGCTTTGGAGACAGGTTTTTTTACATGCAAGGGTTTTGTGCTGCCGGTGCACCTGCTGCTTCTGTGCCACCATGCAAAGCTCCTCAACCCCGTCCCCCTCAGGCCTGCCCCCGACTGCTGTTGATTGTGTCGTGGCGGCCTGCTGGCAGTACCACCAGCCGCGGCAGGCTCAGCCGCAGGGAGCACAGCAGCAGCAGCAGCAGCAGCAGCAGCAGCAGCAGCAGCAGCAGCAGCAGCAGCAGCAGCAGCAGGCCGACGCGGGGGCAGACACCCTAGTGCTGGCTGTGACGTCATCAGGATGGATGTTTGCGGGCAGCATGGCCGGCCGCCCCTACCCGCCAGCCTGGGAGGGCCAGGCCGCGGCAGGCGGCAGCACCGCACCCCTACTCCCGGGGGCGCTTCGGGTGTGCGAAGACGGAGGGGCGCTGGAGCTGCTGTTAGTGCAGCCTGGGGGCTGGCAGCTGCTGCACGGGCGCGCCGCGGCGCCGGGCGGCGGCCTGCCATGCGAGTGGGGGTTTGCCTGCGGCCGTTTGCCGGCGAAGCAGCCGCGGCCCTCGCTCTTCGCGCCGTATGCTGGCGCGTGGCCGAGGCGGCGACGACAGCAGCAGCAGCACCAGCAGCAGCAGCAGCAGCAGCAGCAGCAGGAGCAGGAGCGGGAGGACCCTTCCGGCATGGAGTTGTCGTTAGCGGCTCCTGGGGTCCTCATCGCGCCGCAGCTGCAGGAGCAGCAGCAGCAGCACGGTCAGGGAGGAGACGACCCGAGTTTTGCGTTCTCCCCGTCGCGCAAGGCTCAGCAGCAGCATGGGGCGTCGGTTGGAGGCAGCGCAAGTGCTGCCGCTGCCCCTGCGCCTGCGGCCGGCATTCAGCGGGCCGTGCGCTTTGGCGAAGCGGTGAACTTCGGATCGCCGGGCGGCAGCGCCGATGGCAGCGCAGGCGCCATGGGTGACAGCGGGATCGACGGCAGCAGCAGGGTCGACGACAGCGGCAGCAGCCTGGATTTGGGGGGAGCAGCGACGCGCCTGGTGTTAGCGGACGTTCCTGGGCATGAGGGGCCACGGGAGGAAGATGAGGAGGCCGAAGAGGATGATGATGAAGAGGATGGAGATGGACGGGAGCCAGCTCTTTCGTGCGGCCGCAGCCCAAGCCCAGGGCGGCCGCAGCAGCTGCAGCAACAACACTTGCGCCTGGCAGGGGGCACGCTGCTGCGCGGGGCGTCGGGCGGCGGCGGGGTAGAGACACTGTTGCTATGGGATGTCGCAGGCGCCTGCAGCCTCTACAGCATCAGCAGCCGCTCAGTCGGCAGCACCAGAGCAGGGGGCAGCTGCGCGGGCGGCGAGCTGCGAACAGCAGAGGCCGTGCGCCTGTGCAGCTGGCAAGTGGCTGAGCCGACAGCAGAGCACCCCGCTTCTTGCTGGTGGGGCGGAGCGCAACAGCAGCAGCAAAACGCAGCCGTGTTTGCAGACGCGCTGGCTGACGGCGGTTTCGTCATCGGGGCGGCGGCGCCGCCGCATGCGGAGGAGTTCGTTGGGGGCAGCGGCTGGGGCGAGCGCGGCGTCAAGGGCGGCGCGGGCAGCAGCTTCGGCGTACAGTTGCTCGCGGTCTGCGGCGCTGGGCGTGCGGCACGTGGCGCGTGGTCGGACCCATGGGGTGCGAGCGTTGGCTTGGAGGACGAGCGTGCCGCGGCGCCGCCGGCGGACTGGGGCGCGGGCGGTTCGGGTGCGGGCTGCGGCGCCCCGCATGCCGGCTGCAAGCGCCGGCTGGACGACGAGCTAGTCGGGGCCACAGCGGCAGCTGCCGCCGCCGGCGGCCTGGCGGAGCAGCGGGGCGGCCCCGACGCGCCCGGCGACACCGCCAGGGTGGCGGACGGCGGCGGCGGTGGGCTGCGGTCCAAGCAGCCGAGGCTCAGGGACGGCGGCTGGGGCGCCGCCGCGGAGGCCTCCTCGTGGCATGGGGAGCCCTCGCAGGGGCCGGCGCCGCCGGCGCCGCGAGGCTCCCAGTGCCCGCCCCCGCCGCGGCGGAGCGCACGCGCTGCTGTGACGCACGCCCTCCTGGTCGGCAGCGACCAGCCGGGCCTGCTGCAGGTCGCCATGTGCGGCGCCGACGGGCGGGTGTCGTTCCACTCGTTGGCGGACTACTGCCTGCCGGACTGTGCTCGCGATCTGGACGATCTGGGTGATCTGGGTGAACTGGGAGGCGTCGAGGTGCGCGCCCACCTGGGGCCGGTCACGTGCGCCGTGGAGGTCAGCTTCAAGTGCCCCCCTTTGGATCTGGTGGCGCCGATCCCCCGCGCGCGCCGCCGTCAGCGGACCACGCACTCTGGCGGCTGGGTGCTGCTCGGCCCGCTGGCAGGCCGGCAGAGCCTGGACGCGGGAGCGGCCGCCCCCGCGCCAGCGTCCCAAGCGGCGACGCCCCTCGCGTCGCGGGACGGCTCGCGGCGCACGTCGTACGCGGATATGTCGGCGCTGCCGCCGCTGCCGCAGGGCGCGGCGCCCGCCGCACCCCCTCAATCGGCGACGCTGGTCGGGCCGGACCTAGCCGGTCACTTCTCGTCCCGACCGGGCAGCGCGGCGGGCAGCGAGCCCGGCAGTGCCGCCTGCGCGCACGCGGGCGGCGTCGTCGGACCGGAAGCTTCCGCGGCCGAGCCCGCCGCCCCCGGCGGC